AGAATATTTATGCAAAGTTTCAATCCATTTGGATAAACCCTCGAAGAAAAAAGTGACAAAATTGATTTTGACTAGGGTCGCCCCTATTCCAAAATTGAAAATGTATTTCCTACTTGGTTCTTTGCTCAAAAAAATTTTAGGATGTTTTATTTGTATTTGTTTTAAGCACTTGAATATTTAATGCAAAGTTTCATTCCATTTGGATAAACCCTCGAAGAAAAAAGTGACAAAATTGATTTTGACTAGGGTCGCCCCTATTCCAAAATTGAAAATGTATTTCCTACTTGGTTCTTTGCTCAAAAAAATTTTCGGATGTTTTATTTGTATTTGTTTTAAGCATTAGAATATTTATGCAAAGTTTTAATCCATTTGGATAAACCCTCGAAGATAAAGGGACAAAATTGATTTTGACTAGGGTCGCCCGTAGTCCAAAATTGAAAATGTATTTTTTACTTGGTTCTTTGCTCAAAAACATTTTAGGATGTTTTATTTGTATTTGTTTTAAGCATTAGAATATTAATGCAAAGTTTCAATCCATTTGGATAAACCCTCGAAGAAAAAAGTGACAAAATTGATTTTGACTAGGGTCGCCCGTAGTTCAAAATTGGAAATGTATTTCCTCCTTGGTTCTTTGCTCAAAAACATTTTAGGATGTTTTATTTGTATTTGTTTTAAGCATTAGAATATTAATGCAAAGTTTCAATCCATTTGGATAAACCCTCGAAGAAAAAAGTGACAAAATTGATTTTGACTAGGGTCGCCCCTAGTCCAAAATTGAAAATGTATTTCCTACTTGGTTCTTTGCTCAAAAAAATTTTCGGATGTTTTATTTGTATTTGTTTTAAGCATTAGAATATTTATGCAAAGTTTTAATCCATTTGGATAAACCCTCGAAGATAAAGGGACAAAATTGATTTTAACGAAGGTCGCCCGTAGTCCAAAATTGAAAATGTATTTTTTACTTGGTTCTTTGCTCAAAAACATTTTCGGATGTTTTTTTTTGTATTTGTTTTAAGCACCAAAATATTTATGCAAAGTTTCAATCCATTTGGATAAACCCTCGAAGAAAAAAGTGACAAAATTGATTTTGACTAGGGTCGCCCGTAGTCCAAAATTGAAAATGTATTTCCTCCTTGGTTCTTTGCTCAAAAAAATTTTAGGATGTTTTATTTGTATTTGTTTTAAGCATTAGAACATTTATGCAAAGTTTCAATCCATTTGGATAAACCCTCGAAGAAAAAAGTGACAAAATTGATTTTGACTAGGGTCGCCCCTAGTCCAAAATTGAAAATGTATTTCCTACTTGGTTCTTTGCTCAAAAAATTTTTTGGATGTTTTATTTGTATTTTTTTTAAGCATTAGAATATTTATGCAAAGTTTCAATCCATTTGGATAAATCCTCGAAAAAAAAAGTGACAAAATTGATTTTGACGAGGGTCGCCCCTAGTCCAAAATTGAAAATGTATTTCCTACTTGGTTCTTTGCTCAAAAAAATTTTCGGATGTTTTATTTGTATTTGTTTTAAGCATTAGAATATTTATGCAAAGTTTCAATCCATTTGGATAAACCCTCGAAGAAAAAAGTGACAAAATTGATTTTGACTAGGGTCGCCCCTAGTCCAAAATTGAAAATGTATTTCCTACTTGGTTCTTTGCTCAAAAAAATTTTCGGATGTTTTATTTGTATTTGTTTTTAGCACTAGAATAGTTATGCAAAGTTTCAATCCATTTGGATAAACCCTCGAAGAAAAAAGTGACAAAATTGATTTTGACTAGGGTCGCCCGTAGTCCAAAATTGAAAATGTATTTCCTCCTTGGTTCTTTGCTCAAAAAAATTTTAGGATGTTTTATTTGTATTTGTTTTAAGCATTAGAATATTTATGCAAAGTTTCAATCCATTTGGATAAACCCTCGAAGAAAAAAGTGACAAAATTGATTTTGACTAGGGTCGCCCGTAGTCCAAAATTGAAAATGTATTTCCTCCTTGGTTCTTTGCTCAAAAAAATTTTAGGATGTTTTATTTGTATTTGTTTTAAGCATTAGAATATTTATGCAAAGTTTCAATCCATTTGGATAAACCCTCGAAGAAAAAAGTGACAAAATTGATTTTGACTAGGGTCGCCCCTATTCCAAAATTGAAAATGTATTTCCTACTTGGTTCTTTGCTCAAAAAAATTTTAGGATGTTTTATTTGTATTTGTTTTAAGCACTTGAATATTTAATGCAAAGTTTCATTCCATTTGGATAAACCCTCGAAGAAAAAAGTGAAAAAATTGATTTTATTAGGGTCGCCCCTAGTCCAAAATTGAAAATTGAATTTCTATGGTGTACTTTGGTCAAAAAAATTTTTTGGACGTTTTATTTAAATTGACATAGTTCTGACATAAATCACATACCACTATTACTTTTTGTAAGGCATAGCTTAAAAAAAAACGAAATCTAAAATTTCGACTACCCCATCTGAATTTTGTTCATACTCTTCACTGTGGAAACCAAAAAACAAATTCTTTATCTCATAACACTTGACAAAATAGCGACATAATTCAAGATTAATTACTTTTTAATAATATTTTAACATTTACGAGAAAATGTGGTTCAAATAAGTGTGAAGTATGGCCAAGATTTGGACCAAAATCAGCTATACTGGTTCATAGTGTTCCCGAGGGTGACAAAATTCAAACTAAGTGTTTTTGTAGCTGACATAATTATGACATAAATTAGGTATAACTTTTGAACTGTGTCGATATGGGTCTCGGCCGTTCTTCACGCCCACCCTTCAAACTTATGCTGAGCAAATCTTGGTCTATCCATAAGACTTTTTTTCATTTTAATTGCACTTAATTGCATTTATTGACGACATACTGTCCGGTAATAATTCACATTTTACACTTTAGTATTTGTATACATATGAATTAATATTATGCTGGATCAAACTTCTAATTTTCAAATCAAGGTTTCAAATAAACTAAGGCTCTCGTTTTGATCTTCTGTAGGCGTGACGTGATACTTTTCAGGTCCGTTCTAACAATATTCCATCCGTGGTTAATCTTGTAGCTCTCGTTCCTATTTCTCCCGCTACACTTTAAGTTCCTGACCCGTTCCTTAATCCAACGTTGCCCAAATGCCCAATTAAGGCTTGATCTCCTACATTAAGCAGTCGAAGTATCTAAACTTCCGTAAAAGAACAAATTTGGAAAATGGCTGGATTCGAACAGACGACCTTCGAGTTACCATCCCAAATTTGAGCCAAGCGCCTTACCTATTCGACCAGCAAGGCACTTAACTGCTTAAACTTTGATGGTCCGGTGTGAATATATCCGCATTGGGTTTCTACCCGATACACACTAGTTTTAAAATTGTTTTCTTCTTCTTTTTGACTTTTTTAAGGCTTTGCAGATCTGGTTTTTTTTAAATAGACTTCAAGAAGCGTGTGCTGCTACATTACTAGTTTAAAAACTTACAAGACATTCACTTACTATTTTTTTCAAAAATCTGAAAACCGTTAAATTTAAATGAAATAGTTTGTTTATGATTTAAAGACTTATTTATTGATTGATTGATTCTCCTACCCACATATAATCTAAAAATCTCGCTTATATTACAGAAATTGATGATTTATCTTGATTTATGAACGTTTTTTTTTACTTTATAATTTTTTTCGCAGCAATTTACATTGCTTTAATGCTTAATTAATGTTTTTATTTATTAAAATTGTGGCCTGAACTTTCTTTAACAGGCATCATAATGAGCTAAATAATGGCAATTTACATATCTCGTAATTAATTTTTATTTTGATATTTTCATTAATATTTCAATTTTTTTAATTATATTAATTTAATTAACAATAGGGAAAGAATTACAAAGGATAATTGGTTTGTGGATGAATTTTGGCATTTTAATCGAAATCAACAGAAATAATAAGAGTGAATTTATAAGGGTAATTCCATGCTATAATTTTGCTATAAAATTTTCTTTAAATTGATTTTTTTCATCCTTAGGCTTTACAAAAGTTAATAAGATTTCCAAAGGACATGTTAAAAGCCATAAGGTATGTTATTTGACATTAAAATGTCATCTAAAGTGATTATTAAGTCCAAAAAATTATATTTTATAGCGTTACTTGGTAACATTTATAGCGTTACCAAGTAACGCTCATGGAATCAATTTTTCGGACGAATTAACCACTTTAGATAGAAAATTAATGTCAAATCATATACCATATGACTTTTTACATGCACTGTGAAAATCTTATTAACTTTTGTAAAGCCTAAATATGAAAAAAAATCAATTTTAAGTAAATTTTTTACAAAAATTTCTCATGGAATTACCCATAACTAGCTACAACTAGGCGAATTTCTTATAATGTTCACATTTCTCATTTAATAATCTATCTACAGTGCTTGTGATTTCTTGTTCCTATAATTTCAATTTTAGGCGCATTTTTTCATGTTGTTGCACACACTTTGTCTCTGTCCTTTTAAATATCCTGTAGCAGTTAATTTTCAAATAATTTTTGACAGTTTAGTTTTGTGCTGGGAAAATGCGTCAAGACCACTCTATGCTAGTTTGAATAATTTGCGACATGATTCAAGACGACAATTAAGATAATACTGGAATTTATTTTCAAAGAAAATTATCAGCTTTTCTTTTATTAAATTTATTATTTTTCATTTTCATCCAATCAATTTGATTCTCATTTTATTTTTTATGTAAAATTGGTTCAATGTGATTCATCATCCAGTCAATCGGATGTACAATTTCAAATTTTTTTAATTCATAATTTGTTCCGAATATTTTTAAACATTCATTTTCATACTTTTTCATATTCATATATGCGTGAATGAATCTAAGGCACAATACATTGCAGATAATAATAAGGACAGCCACTGTTCTAGATTTTTACGCTTATTTTTTCCCTAAACAATTTTCATTCATTTTTTATCTCGGTCTAGAAAGTAAACTGTAAGGTCGATTTCACTAAATGACAGTAATTTTGTTAATTGGGCTCATTGTTTTGGATGGTTCTTCTAATGATTCATGAATAAATTATTGCGAAGTGAATTTCTCATTGATTGACGCATTCCTTAATGGACTATTCGTGATGGTGAACTGAATTGCCTTATATATTATCATTTTCAGCTACATACGTATGAAAATCTTACAGCAAATTTTAATAATTCAGCAGTTCTGACTTTAAAACCCAACAACAGTCATTCAATAAAACTGTTGAGAGGTTCTAAAACTTTAAAATTGTCATTTAAATTTGAAAAGGTCGTTAAAAATTTCTAATTTTATATCTGAAACTTGAGACATAAACAGTTAAGCAAGTTTAAAGCTACAGCATTTCTAGAACCTCGCCAATAAAATGGCAATGAGAAAAACACACCAAAGTTTAATTTCATTTCGATAAAATTTGCACACAATTCAGTGAAATCAACCCCGTTTAATGGGGGCTCAAATTGATTTCCATCAATAAAATTTATTTTCTCTGTCATAAGAAAAGAAATTATCACATTAATTAAACTACAAATAATTAAAAACGCACATGTGATTCTTCTCAATAAAAAACGAATTTTTCAATGTTTGTGGTCGTTCAGAAATGACGTCTAATATTCTTTTTGGTTTAATTTTTAAAAATGTCATGTGGACCTTTCTGAAAGTAGAAGGTGGTTGTATTACGAGTATGGGACGTCAATTATTTTCAAATTCTCTTAAACATTAGACGTCATTAGTAAACAACCACAAAGAATAAAAAAATAGAAAAGTAACAATTTTAAAGGATGCATTCTAGCAGAAGATGAAGATTGCTTTTTTAAAGCTTTGTCTTCTGAGTGATAAATTTAATATTCTGTCAGTTTTAAATCTGATAGTAGAGTTGACAGAAATTAAGCTGGAAAAAATGCAAAAAGGGATTTAGCTGCTATAATTCTTAAAAGACTGGATATTAGCCCTGTTATGACTTTTGGACAGCATTTATCAATTAATTGCTCTTTTTGCACTTTTCAGCTGCATTCTATAGCCATTCTCCTGCTAGAGCCACCCTTTGTCTTGAATTGTACAATAATCAAAACCTTCCTCTTTTAATAACTTTAACGTATATAAATGTTTAGTGTAAATAGAAAAATGAAAATCTTCTCAATTAAAATATATTTTTTGATTTATTATTAATCTTTTAACTAGTAAATAAATTGATTTAATGAACATTCGTAAATATCATAATCATCATCGTTTTATAAATCTTTTTTTGATCATTTTGGAATGTAATTTTAAATTATTAAACTATTATTTAACTATAGAAACTGTTCTTTCTACTTATCTCATTATGTCAATGGAAATGGGGGAATTTTCGAACGTTGCATGAGGTCACATAAAGTCATGCTAATTTATAAGCTGTTCGTAGGGTTCAGCAATCGACATGAAAGGCGTTCATCCAACATTCGAAACTTCCTCTCATTTTCAGCATTACTTGAGTTTTGTCAAAAAGCATTGTTCCTTTAAATCGGGGTCTTATACCTAGCTTTAATATTTTTTTCATCATTTTTCATATGTACAGGCTATTTACTAATAATAGGTTTAGAATTTTTTACCTATAACTTTTTTCACATGCGTCCTAATTCTATACAATGAATCATCATAATTTTTTTATCATTTTATACAAAAATGTCTATGATGTCTTATCATAGGTAGGCGATAAAAGTAATAATAGTATTTGACTATAACAATATTTAACGAAATTATAAAGGCTCATATAAGAGAAAAATAAAGGAACAAACGAAATAAATTCCTGATGAAATCGAAGAAAAAACACGTTTATGATGAAACTAAAGCTACGACGAATTATTCTCCATTAATCAGTGCCATGTGAAGACGACATGAGCAAACATTAAGTATACTGTAGCGACCATTATACTTCCAATCATGACTGGGAAACCGACCCTATTTTTTTTGTCGGAGAAGAAATTAATTAAAATGAGATTCACAAATTATTTTAATCGTGACTTACTTGAAGAATTCAACGAAAGTAAATCTGTAGCCGTGCTGTTCAGCTACGCCAGCACATACGACGTTGGCTGAAGCGCCGATTAATGTACCGTTTCCTTTGGATTAGATAAAAAAAAGTCAAGCAATGCACAAATCCTGAAATAATTCAAATATTTACCTCCTAAGCAAGCACCGAAGGCAAGAGCCCAAACAAGTGGCTGCAATGGCAAGTTAAGAGCTTCATTTTCAGCCAAGGAAATGGCAATCTTAACCATCATGGTTGTTAATGGAATGTTGTCAACGAATGCTGATGCTAAAGCTGACACCTGCGAATTGTTTAATTAATGTCATAAATCATTTCTGAGTTCATTAATAAAGTGATGAGAATGATAAGATTTTTTTATTGCAGTAAATGAGTAGCGTGAGTGGGCATTTTTTAAGATCATATTGTGGTGTGAATTGAATTTTTTTATGAATATATTCCATGAAACAGCGTTAAATTAGGTTTCAAATAGGCGTCTCGACCAATTTTGGACTTTAAAAATCCGTTAAAATTTTGAAAGGTGTCTCAACTCAAATATTTTGAATTCAAAAGCTCGATAAAGATTTAAAAGTGTGTCTAGACTAAGCTTTGATTTTTTAAAACTCTGTTGAAAATTAAAAATAAAAACAATTGAGACTTACCCATAAAATAATGAGAATTGCAACAGCTAAACGAGCTTCCTCGCCTACGGATAAAATGACATTTTCTGTTTGACGTCCAATCCAATCGATAAGACCTAACTCGGAGAGAGCTTCCATAAGAACGAAGAGTGCAGCAAAGAAGAGTAATGTTGACCATTCAACTCGAGCGAGAACAGCTTCCATATCCTCTCTATATATGAAACATAAAAAATTATTAATGACTTGGAAAATTATTCTAATCTTAAAATGATGATGCTTACCTATCGGACAGAATAAGTAATAAAATGGCACCAAGAAGAGCAGTCCATCCAAGTGATAAACGTTGCAAATTTGGAACTGAGTGCAAGAAGAAGAAAGAAATGACGAACACGAGCGTAATTGATGATTTAATCAGCAATGTAACATTCCTAATTGGATATTTGGCTTGCAATTCATCGAGTGTTGCTTTGTAGCTATCAACAGGTACACTTCCGCTCACAAGTTTCTTCTTTAATTGGCGTCCTAAACGATTTACCTTCTTTACTAATGTCTCTCGTACTAAATCCTCATCCTTTGAATATGATGAAAGTGATGCAGCAGCACGTTGCCAAACCGATATCTCATGACGTAATTCCTGTACATCATTTGGTTCACTAAATCTCAAATCGTTAATATTGCGGAATTTATAGCGTAATTGGAAATAGGTTTGAACCATAACCATACACACACCAATTGCCATGTGAAGTGAGAATGTCGTGAAATTGACTCCCTGAATTTAAAATAAATATAGTACATTAATATATTCAATCTGCTGTAAATGAGAATCAGTTCCTTACATTTTTCGAAATGTGAGCATTTGAAGCCTGTTAAAAAAAATTCAAAGATATATTAGCAAATTTGAAAAATTCAGCGGTTATTTCGATACAAATCTAAATCCCTCATACTTATCAACTTCAATGTACTTACACTGCAAAGAAATAAAAACGAGAAATAAAGTTAATTGAGTTTATTTAAAAATAAATTGATGAAATTTTTGTGCTTTTAAATTTCATTCTTTTTATATTTTTTTTATGAATGAATAAATTCATCACGTAATGAACACTTACACTGAAAAGAGAAAGAGAAAAAAATGAGAATTTAAGTTAGAAAATATTTTACAAAGACTTTGATGCTATTAAAATTTTGTTGTATAACCAATGGGTGCCTACAACAATGTAGACCGTTATTTTTTCTAAAATTCAAACCTGTTTCTAAAATTCAAACCTGTTTCGAAAAAATTCGAAAAATAATATTTTATAAAAAATTTTGAAATTTTAAAGACCGTTAAATTTATTTATGAACAAAAATCAATTCTTCGACGCAAATTTGTTTTTGAATGTAACAATCGACAATGAAGCTCAAATTTTGATCGAAAAGTTACAAAAAATAATATTAAATTTTCAATAGTCTTTGAACAATGCTCAAATGGAATTTCAACCTGACTAAGAACAATATCTGAAAATTTTGTCTTGAATGTGCAGAAATCTCACTTCCGTCGACACTTATGTTGTTTGATTTTAAAAATAACAACCATTTATCTTTGTTTAATGAGTGCTTAGGTACTTTAAAAAGATTTGTAATTGTTTTATTTTTGTTGCAGCTTGCAATTTTGCAGGTTTTACCCATAATTAATGAAAATTAATCAAAATTTTACTGATGTAAACAAATATAATTTTTTGATGAAATATTTTTAACGGAATTTCATTTTTTGAAAAAAATTCAAATTCGAATTTTCGATTTCGAAGAATAAGGACCATTTTCGAAGAATAAGAACCATCGGCACCCATTGGTTGTATAATTGAGCTGAAATGAGTTTGAATGAATTTTGAGGAGTTGTAAGATGCCGTAGTTAAGGAATAAACCTTATAAATGTTTCAAATTACATAAAAGTTTCAAGTTGGCAGAATAAACTAGTCGAAATTAGGGAAATCCCTAAAAATTATGTTGATTTCTCAAAACCACACAAATGTTTTTAATTTAAAATTAAAATTTGAATGGTTTTAGACAAAGCTTTGAATTAAACCATTCAAATGTCAATTTTAAAATATTTGTGTGGTTTTGAGAACATTTGTATCGCTTTGACATTTTGATGTCGTTGTATGGATCTAGCAGGAATAAATTGAATGTTTTTATATTGGATTTCATTAAGTTAAATATAAAAACATACAAATCCTCGCTGATAAAACCTTACAATTGCGTTAAATATCAAAACCAAACAAATTCAGTAGTTTTGCCAACTATCTCTTTAAACAGAAAAAAGATTAAAATAATCTTCATCACACTGTGCTATAGTAAATGCATTTTGTTCCGCGAATTTTATAAATCCCACACTATTTCTTCAGACCATTTCAGACAATTTTTTTTTTCTTCGATGTAATCATTTAGTTTTGAGGAGATTTGCGTCACTGGTGATTATGATACTTACTCTGAAAGGAGAAAAAGAAAGGAAGAAAAGTATAAAATTAATACCATAAATTACCATAATAAATATTTTAATTTAAGTAATTTTCTACAAAGCATCTGATTGCTGTTGACGAATTAATGGATGTACTTACACTGAAAATAAAGAAATAAACAATAATCAATAATTCAAATTGCATGAATAAGGATGAGGCTAACTTACATGACATTTGGAGGGTCGCCAACTGGCGTTAAAGCTCCACCGATGTTAGAGTAAATAACCATAGACATCAAAATAGGCACAGGATTTAGTTCCATGACTTCGCACAAACGAATTGTTACAGGCGTCATCAATAAAACTGTCGTCACGTTATCCAAAAATGATGAAAGAACGGCAGTAAACAGGCACAAACAATTAATCAATGGCCACACTTTTCCGTTAGTAATCTATTCGCGGGAAATAAGAAAATTTGGTCATGTAAAAATCGGCAAGATTTTAATATTGAGCATGTCTACCTTATAAGCATAAACAGCAAGATAATCGAAAATACCAGTTTCCGATAAAATGGCAACAAGAATCATCATACCAAAAAGTAATAATAAAGTTTCTATGTCGATCCACGACATAATCAAAGTCATTGGAGGACGTTCATTCATTGCCGCAAGAATACCTTGAATAGAAATGATTTTTATTAAGATTTATAGCTAGGAAAGCTGTCATGTCTAATAATTACCAATTGACATAGTGGAGGCAATAATTGCAGCGAATGTTCGATGAACCAACTCCCAAATAATCATAATATAAAGACCGAGTAAAACAATTGCAGCATAAATGATGCCCATGTCTTTGTCCAATGGTGATGGATCGTATGCAAAATTAACGGGTAAGCTTGCATCAAAATTCGTGTATAAATTTAATTTGAGTTGAGTTGATGAGTTATCATGAAGTTTCTCATAGTGTGAATAGGCTAGAGGTATAGTTTTGCTCCTCTTCAGTTCCTTTACGGTGTCCATTTCGGTTAGATTAACAACTGGAAATTTGTAAATTTCATCTGTGACATTTTCGACATGTCCGTCGCTGTAGTGCATTGTTAGATAGTAGAACATGTAATTTGTTGAGTCATTGTCATAATGTTCACCGTAAAATGATCCTCTAAATATCAGTCCGACTCGAGGATCAATTGGAGCGTCCTCAAGAACGTAAGCTGTAAATGTGATTTATACAGTTTAGATATCCAATGACATTATAAAATGTGATCTCTTTAAAATTTATACATTATCCTTCAAATCATTTACAATGGCTCATAAAAATGTCACAGACCTAACTTACGAGAAGGCTTATATCATTAAATTTGTTTTTGATGATTCGGTTTCGGAATAGCCAAATAAGGAGAATGTGAAAGTTTTAAAGAGACCACTAGATAAACAGCTGTGTAGGCGTAATTACTGATTACTCCTTGGATTTAAAGCCTTAAAAGATACAGAAAGTTCAACTTACTCTTGATGTTACTTTTTGGTACTGCTAATTGTCTATAATGTAGCACTTTTTCATTTTTAGACATAAGGAATAACGTGAACATGACCCATACTATAAGAAGTACTGTCATTTTCGCCCAACTAACATATTTATTTTGCTGGAAGTTGTAAAGTAAGATCAAATTAGATTTTCTGTCTGGCAAATTAATTTATTTATTTTTGGCACTTACTTTATGGTGTCCTCCTAAATGCTGGTGTATATCTGTAATATCGCCATCTCCAATGTCTCCAGATTTATCTCTAAGAGTTAAGGAATAAGAATTTTCAGAATATTCAGAAATTGACAAAGACATGACTCAAAATGTAAACAAAAAATTCAACGACTTTTTATGATTTGAATTTTGTACTAAAGTAGTGTATCGGGTAGAAACCCATGCGGATTATATTCACACCGTACCATCAAAGATGGGGGGTAAAACCCCCGAAAAATATTAATTCCACGATCCTGCGGGATAATAACCCCGAAAAGCGGGATAATATTCCCACTTAGAAATACACGTGGAATTATTATCCTTCCCGAAAGATAATAATCCCACCTATAATCACAAGTGGGATTATTATCTCCCAGGTAGATAATAATTTCACTTACATTACTAAGGGGCCATTCACTTATTACGTAACGCTTTTAGGGGGGGAGGGGGGTCTAAGATTTTGTTACGGTTCAAACAAGGAAATTTTTTTTTCATACAAATTTTGTTACGAGGGGGGGGGGGGGGGTCTAAAAAGTCATTTTTTCGCGTTACGTAATAAGTGAACAGCCCCTAAGTGGGATTATTATCTTTATGGAACACGATTAAAATTATGGATTAAATCAAATCCAAAAACTTATTTGTCATAGTGGATAATAATTCCACTTGTATTAATAAGTCAATTTCATTATTCCAAAAACTTAAATATGAAGAAAACATAAATATTGGTTGGATGTTTGCTTTTTAAAAATATATTATTCCAAATTGTTTAAAAAATAAAATCAAGGTGGGTTCAAGTGGGTTCAACTGATCTAAAGATGTTAGCTATTCCATATAAAATTATGTTCGAGATTCGCTCGAATGTTTAAAGAAAATGTAGCTGTAATTCCATTTTGTTTCGCTTCATTCATTCAACTGTTTAAAAATCACAGTTTTGTTCAAATGTTTAGAAGTAGATATGTTAACCTCTAATGGGCAAAATAATAAATTTTCGATTCTTTCCTGAAATTTTCCTAAAGTCATTCAAATAATTGTAAATTGCCCTTAACAAAATTTGATTTATAAATCTAATCATAATATTTTTTTACACATTATGCTAAGAAAAATGAAAAGATTTAAACATAAAAAGAACGCAAAATTAAAATTCTGTTGCTCAAATTCTTATTAAATTAACTAGAATTTTAAAATGATGGCAGTTCTGATGCTGTTTAACCGTGTCTACAAGCCCCAAGAAGGTTTCCAATAGTTTTAGACCATTTAAGAGATTTGATTGTTTATAATCTCAAAATTTCGAAATTATTCTGATATTTGAGTGCCTATTAAAATAACGAATTTTAAAATTTCGAAACTTCATTTTTACGAACTCACATTTTTACGACCATATCATTTTTACGAAAAATTATTTTTTCGACTTTTTTATAAATTTCAAATTCTAAAATGTCGTTAATTTCATCACGTGTTCTCTTCAATAATAAATCTGCAAAAAAAGATTAATAGAACAAATGTTTTTAAATATATTGAATTAAAACGTATTTTTTATTCAATATCACATTTCATGGACTACATGTGCATGTTTAAAGGATTAACAAACACAATTAAGCTCTTAAATCATTTTTGACTCCTGCAATAGCCTTTAATGTTTCAACTAGTGGCACGGATTGTCGACGGTTCAGGATTGATTTAATGGAATTCTCTGTCTTTTCAAAATCTGGCATTTGCTTTTGTGGCTTTCGAGCCAAATTTTTGTCGATATCTATTTCGATGGAAAGAATTTGTGTCTTTGTTTAAAGGCTATTGCAGTAGTCAAAAATTATTTAAGAGCTTAATTGTGTTTGTTACTCCTTTAAACATGCACATGTAGTCCATGAAATGTGATATTGAATAAAAAATACGTTTTAATTCAATACATTTAAAAACATTTGTTCTATTAATCTTTTTTTGCAGATTTATTATTGAAGAGAACACGTGATGAAATTAACGACATTTTAGAATTTTAAATTTATAAAAAAGTCGAAAAAATAATTTTTCGTAAAAATGATATGGTCGTAAAAATGTGAGTTCGTAAAAATGAAGTTTCGAAATTTTAAAATTCGTTATTTTAATAGGCACTCTGATTATTCAGGTATACAGCAGACTTGCGTCATTTCAAATGTTGGCAGTTATGTAAAATTTTGAAAAATTCAAAATTTATTTTCCGTTAAAGCATAAAACAAAATTTTGCTTTAATTAAGCTACATATTATGAAGCTTTTCGATCAGTATCATTAATTATGTGATCAGTAAGTTTTTAATCATTGTTTTAAGTAAGAAACTTCCTAAATTAAGAAAATTCAGTTGAAATTGAAAAATGTCAACAAAAAAATGTAAGTGTGTAAGTGTAAAAATTTCTTGAAAATATTTCTGCAAAAAACTCTTTTGTTTCTTGATATTCATGATTTTAAAGCTTATCAATGTTCATAAATAATAACAAGCTTTGATTCTAAGCTAGTTGACAGTAGTTATCATAGCTAAAATGCTCAAAATTCAACATAGAATTTTTTAAAGTTTTACCGGTTGAATTGAGTTTAAATTTTCGAAATAAATTTCGAATTTTTCGTAGCCAATTTCGAATTTCTTCGAAATGAAATGACGCAAGTCTGGTATACAGGGTTACTTAAACAAACTGATGGCCACAAATTTATTGAAAATGTTCAGCAAATAATTAAAGTGATTCGTACAAAATTCAAACGTAACATTTTGTAAGTTCTTTCAAACTTGAGCTCTTTTAAAGAAAAGCTTAAAATAAAACCTGTCAAAACTAGTGTATCGGGCAGAAACCTAATGCGGATTATATTCATACCGTACCATCAAAAGTCTAATGGATAGACCAAGATTTTCCCAGCATATTTATGAAGGTATGAAGCTTGATAAGTCAACTGAGCTTCGCTCAGCATAAGTTTGAAGGTATAAAGCTTGATAAGTCAACTGAGCTTCGCTCAGCATAAGTTTGAAGGTCTAAAGCTTAACGAACATTCTTTAAAAGTTTTTAAAAAAAATTTTTCATCCAAACTTGAATTTTATAAAAATCACAGTCAACTTTTGTTTTGAAAAATTCGTAAGAAAGGAAAGTTTTTTGCTTTTTCTGAAGCAACGGCTGTTCCTACCTTGCCCAAAAACAATACAGCTCTTCTATAGAGCAGCACGGATCAAATGTAAAAAACTAGAAGTCTTTACGATGTCTCGTTATTGAGATTTCTTGCTGATTAACTTGCTTGCTTGCTTATTTGCTTACAGAAAGCGTATTTTGCGATTTTCTCAGCAATGCCACAGCCAATTTGAAATCTGTTTTTTGAAAATGATGTAAAATTTCAGGCACAAACTTTTCTTCTTGACCTTTTATAACCAATTTTGCTTGGTTTTCTCACAAAATGCGAAAAACTGATTTTTCAATCTGAACAAAACCAATAAATTCACACGTGAAAACGGTGTGAATATAAAAAAAATTTATATCCTAAAATAGATTTTATATTCACACCGTATTCACTTTATTTTTGTTCAGCTTGAAAAACAGTTTTTCGGATTTTGAGGAAAAAAAGCAAATGGGCAAAAAACAGAATTTAAATTGGCTGTACCATTGATGGGAAAATCGCATAATACGTAAGCAAACAAGCATCAAGGCAAGTAAATCAGCAAAAATCTCAATAACGAGGCATCTAATTATTGCATTTTGATTCTTGCCGCGTTAAAAAGGATAAGGCTTTATTTTTTTATTGGGTAAGGTAGAAACAACCATTGCTTCCAAAAAAGCAAAAAACCCTGCATCCTCTATCCTGCATCACGTGAACTCAAATTTTACCAATGACAAAAATGATAAAAACGTGATTTATTAGTTCCGCACGTTTTAAATTTTGAAAGACTTCATTTCAAAACTATTTGCAAAAACAAAAAATTGAAAATTTTGTGTGAATATGATTTCTTGAGTGAATAGATCTTTGATACATTAAACATCTAGGCTCTAGGCTTTTAAAAAATTTACAAAAGGCATAAAAACCAAGTTTTCAACTTAAACATTCAACCAATATTTATGTTTTCTTCATATTTAAGTTTTTGGAATAATGAAATTGACAAATTAATAAATGGGATTTTTTTTTTGGATGAAAATCCTATTAGATAATAAATCCACTTATTAATACAAGTGGAATTATTATCCACTATGACAAATAAGTTTTTGGATTTGATTTAATCCATAATTTTAATCGTGTTCCATAAAGATAATAATCCCACTTAGTAATGTAAGTGAAATTATTATCTACCTGGGAGATAATAATCCCACTTGTAATTATAGGTGGGATTATTATCTTTCGGGAAGGATAATAATTCCACGTGTATTTCTAAGTGGGAATATTATCCCGCAGGGAACATTTAAAAATTTGCGATTTTCGGGGTTATTATCCCGCAGGATCGTGGAATTAATATCTTTCGGGGATTTTACCCCCCCATCACCATCAAAAGTCTTATGGATAGACCAATATTTGCCAGCATAAGTTTGAAGGTATAAAGCTCGCGAGTCAACTGAGCTTTGCTTAGCATAAGTTTGAAGGTATAAAAAACTAGAAATCTCTACGATGTCTCGTTATTGAGATTTCTTGCTGATTAACTTGCTTGCTTGTTTGCTTCCAGAAAGCGTATTTTGCGATTTTCTCAGCAATGCCGCAACCAATTTGAAATCCGTTATTTGAAAATGATGTAAATTTTCAGTCACAAACTTTTCTTCTGGGACCTTTCATAACCAATTTTACTTCGTTTTCTCACAAAATGCGAAAAACTGTTTTTTCAATCTGAACAAAACCAATAGATTCACGTGTGAAAACGGTGTGAATATAAAAAGTCTTTGTATTTTAAAGTTTAAAAGGTCGTTTAAAATTTAAAAAGTTGTCTTACCCATTAAGTTGTGTCTTTTGACATTTTTCACCGTCTATGACATTAATAGACACTAAATCTGTGTGTGATTGCCCATCATTTGAATTATTCTCCGATAAGGAGTTGTCTTCATTTGGCAAAGGATCCTCTTCGGCATTTGGATTTTGCGTTGGTCTATCATTCGGTCCTATAAAAAAAAATTAAAATTAATCGAATTAATAACGTATATTTGGAAGATAATACCATAAATAAATTTTAATCAAATCAAATGGTAGATGTTTGTCCAAAATAACGTTATTTAGATTTGTTTTTATTGCGACCTGTTTTATTTTCAGACTGCGCTCATTATTCAATTTATACAAAGGGACATGCAGTTCTGGAAGCATATGTTCGTGTGCCTACAGTTCATATGACTTAGATGGGTCAGTTTTGTGTAAATACGCTTACAATTTTTAAATCATTGAGATGCTCGCATGAAGGTGAAAATTGTAAAAAGGCTTAATTTTTATGGCTTTTTGATGAAGCATAATAATGCTCACTGGCCTAGAACATTGTGGCCTTGCATTACATACGTTAATCTCGACTTTCTCAATTTAATAAATTTCCACAAATGCACTATTTGCTGATTTCATTTATATTTGCAATTTTTGAAATAAGGCAAAAAAGTAGCCAATATAATCAACTTAATCAGCAATCAAGTCTCTCAAATAAGCACGAGATATTTTATAATTGTGTATCGAATTGATCTGATTCAGTCAAAATTCCAAGCCATAAGTATTGTATTTTGAGCACAAATGTGGCTCTTATTATCAGTCATATCGGGAATTTTTAGTAGATTACAAAATATTATTGAAAGCACTTGTTGACTTTTTGCAAATGTTTCAAATAAAACGAGACATTACATTCCTACATTGTTTCATTATGTCTTGATCGAATCTAAATTTATCTAGTTTTACGTCAGTTTAACCGCATTCAATTAAGATATTTTTTTATCTATCTTAATCGACTTTTTTTTTGTCGCAATGATCAACACCAGAAGTTTTTAAATGTCTTCTTTTTGGAACGTGACTAAGGAACGATTCAATTTAGTTCAATTTCAAAATGAAATGGAGACAATCTTTTGGGTTCGATGTCATTGAGAATATTAAATTGCTTAATTAAAAATTTTTGTTTTAAAAAGGCTTCATCTAAATTCTAAGGGACGTTCTGATATTGGAATTGGAGATTAAGAACATTATTCTTTGAAAGATGTCATTTGTTAACGACCCCGTATCTGTTTTTGTTGTCAGCGCAATTTTGTTGCTACTTCTCTTTGTTTTCTTCTTAGTAGTAATTAAGTAATTTTGGATATTCGGGCTCCTTTTTGATAAGAACAGCATTTAATTGCATTTGGAATTTCCAAAGCGAATTCAGTGAGTGTTGTTGCGTGAATATTTTTTAAGGGATTTAATCTCTTCTTATTTCACTGTGATTTACTGCAAGGTTCAGATTTATTTATGGTCTGCAAATTTCGCTCCTTAAAAAGTTAGAGTTGGGTAATTAAAGTCAAAATATTAAGGTTGTTGTTAACTTTTGTTTATGGAAAACAGCTTGTTATTCATGTTGATTTTATCTTTTATTCTTATATTGGAGCAAGTATAAGATTTTTAGGAGCAATTGTTATTGAAGCTTTAAAACCTTTTAATACAAAAGAGATAAAATCTTTAAACACTAATATGATATCAATAAGATAAGATCCAATGTAATATGATCTGTTGATTATCAAAATCAACTATTAGAAAGTATCAAACAATAACTTCAAAACTATTCGGCCTGTTTCACTAAAGTGGATTATCCTCGATTTCGGATTATCCACTTCAGTTTTTTGAAAATATCTCCAGACGCTTAAGGTTATTAAGAGATCTAATGTCTGATCTAGTTAGAGTACTTTGCTACTTAAATTAACATAAACTTAGAATTTTTATATCTTCATTAGTTTAAGAATTATAGCAAAAATCGAAATTAATCAACTAGATTTGGCTAGAAAATTGAATAATTAATACTTCTTAACGAAAAGCAAAACTTTAAAGTACACAGAAATTTCAGGCATACTTCACTCTATTAAAATCCAAAATTATAAATACCACACCTCCCATAAAGTGTAAGATATTTACAAAAAACTGAAGTGGATAATCCGAAATCGAGGATAATCCACTTTAGTGAAACAGGCCGATTGTTCATTGCACGATTTCGTAAAAAAGCTGTACTGAACAATAAACTCATTAGTTACAGGTTCAAGGCTCCGGATTTTAAGTTTTGCATGATATATTAACATTTAAAGAGCTATTAAACAATTATTCAGAAATTTAAACTTCCAGAAACATTTCTGCATGAAAAACTTCAATAAACCAATTCTCATTCAGATATTCCAACAATGAACACAATTTCCATTGATTATAAATGTGCTTTCCGTATCCCCAAAAAGTTTAATCCAAATTATCTTTTGTTTCCATTTTTAATCAACAATAAAACAACAACAAAATCAACATTAATTTCTTGTGTAGATAAACGTGTAAAACCATTTAAAGAGAGCTTCTTAATAACTCTTAATCATTATGATGAGTTTTTATTTTGTGTTCCGCGATAAGAACTAATCCCAACTGATATAAATTTTGACGACATAATTGTTCTTTGTACTACTCGATAGCAACGATATCAATGTTTACTATAATTTGTGACTTTAATTCACTTAAATATCGACTTTAAATGTCAATTTTTTAAAGTCTTTAATTAGAAGGAACGTGTGACTTTGAGTTTTTTGCCTGATACTTTGTGGATGTAAGCGGCACAAACCACTTTTTCAAAGAGATTCTCTTATCATTGTAAACTCTCCTACATTACGGGACTGGGGATCATAATGATTATGATAATAATAATAAAAGTAAATATAAACGAGTGAATTTAACTACAGCACAAATGCGACAATAAGAACAATAATCCAAGGCTTTTTAAAACTCAAACATACCCTCAATGTGTCATGTTTAATATACTTAATTTATATACGTTCGTTATTTGTTTCTTTTCATCTTTTACTTTTCTTTCAACTGGACGCACATTTTTTTTTTGGTTTGTTCAGAAATGATGTCTATTGTGAGGCATAGGATAAGTTTTTGGCGTCAAACCGTGATTCAGAGGAAACACAATTAAAGATCATCTTGCTGATGAGTTTCGCGAGCACATAACTGCACTTCCTCAATTCAAATGCAAGACGTCATAACCATATGATCCCATAGATAAGTATACAAACGTATTTATCTGTATGGAATCTTGCATGTGGAAAAAGCAAGAGAGAGATGTGATGGAAATGAGAAGTAAATAAACAAACGAATGTGCCGACGATACGTGGAAATGACGGTGAAAAAAGGAAAAATCGTTTTCATGAAAAGATTACACTTGGAAATGAGATAACGAGACAAAGTACACAATTTTATTTTTTTGTAGCGGAGCTGGAAGCTCGTAAATGCTTAAAGGTGAGCGCTCAAAACTTTTTATTATAATTTTTGATGTTTCATTTTCCTGCGAAATGAGAGGTTTTCTTATCTGATGCTTACAATCGACATTCTTGAGGAAAATCGTCGTTATTCTATTTAAAAAATTCTATTTTATTCTACTTGATGCTATGAGTAATGTGATAGCGACAATTGAAAGAAGAAATATTTATAAATTGTCTTTCAAGAGCCAAGTTATGGAGAAGTCAATTAAAATTTATTAGCTAAGTCTTTAGACTATGAAGTTAATTGGTTTCTTAATAAAATGAATCATTTTCAATTGAAATGTGAGAATATATTGTCATTGTAATTTGTTGAATAAAACTTCCTATTAGAACTAACGGTTACTGGATTTCTTTTATAATATTATTCTTTTATAATTCTAGCAATTTTTTTGAAATCTTAATAAACATTGAAAATTTGCGATTTTTTAAAAAGTTCTTTATAAATATTCAAGTTTGAGAAATATCGAGCGTTTAAACTCATTTAAAGGATCGGTGAGGATTAGTTATTATGAACTTACATCAATGTTTATCAATTCTTCAAGATTTTAATCAAGTTAACCTCAAATTGAATAAATTTAAAAGAACAGTTAACAATTTCAATTCTTTGAACATTCAAAAAGGAATTTTCGATGAAGAACCACAAAAAATACTCAAGTTTTGTCATAGAAACGAATCTCTTTAAGCTCCCACTCCACAACAATTTCACGGTAAGTACGATATACACATTTAAAAATACAATCATGACAACTTCATAAAAGATTAAAGTCTATTACATAAAATTAGATTTTGTTGCTGTCTGGAAAATTTCTCGAACTTTTTTGTAGTTTTAAGATTGCTTTAATTATAGTAAATCTTCTTATTTCACTAGTCAGAATGACAAATAATAAAAAAAAATTAGACATAAAATTTTGCACAGCAAAAATTTAAAATAGCAAAACAAAAATAAGATTCCCTCATCTTTATTAGATGTTTATTTTGTGTGACAGTCACTTGAACAATTTCTTTCAACAAAATTGCGACAATAAATCACTGAATGAGGTGCTATGAAAAGCAATCATTGAGTTGAAAGAGATATAAAATAGTGAAAAGAAAAAAAAATATTAGGAGATGTGAATTTCATAAAAAGCAACAATTAATTTAGATTTAAATCTTGTCGTTTTTTCCCTCTTAATAGCTAATTATTTATCATTGACGGTATGTGAAATTTAATTTTTTTTTTCATGAATGAATACAAAAAACTGCATTAAACTACAAAGACGATGTTTACTTGCTCTCACAACAAAATAGTATAAAGCGAATAAAATTACTAGTTTATAGAAGTTTTTTCATCCAAATGAATTTAATATTACAAGGTAGTAGTTTAATTATTTAAATGAACTTCCTCATTTTTGTCAACTCTTTTTTTAACTCATAATTTTTAATATGTTTTATGGAATTTAATTCTAGAAAAATTAGAAATCTTGCATGTCTACTTATCTTGCATGTGAGGCAAAATTTTAGTGTGAAATCAACCGAATTTCTCTAATTGAAGGTAATTTAAAAATAACATTTTGTAAACTTGAAATTTAATATGGGATAGGGGTCATTTCTTTGTGATGTTTCATTAATTTTTAGTAAGGAATAATGTTGGTTCAGGTATGAAGGAACTTAATTTTGACCAGATTATTAGGAATTGTGTCAGAGAATAGTCGAGTTTAGATTGGCGAGGCTTATTAAGATGAATCCACTAGTGCGATAATAAGGTTTCTGGTGCATAGAGGTTAGGCTCTAGAGAAGAAATTTTCTATTTTATAACGACGAAAGTTTGATTCTTCTCTTTCTTTATGAATATTAACCAAGCCCTAGCAGAAATTTACTAGTAATTTCCTAGTAATTTACTGGATAACTTTCCATTTTCTACTTGCTATTTACTAGTCAAAAACCAAGTTCAAATCTTCGCCAAAGACCCGCATTTTCACTTGCTAATTGACTAGTCAATTTGCTTACAATTTTACTAGTAATTTACTAGCAAATTTGTAAAAAAATTAAATGAATATAACCGTTGATTTCCACGTGTTCTTTTGATTTTTCTTATTTGTGTAAATTATTGTAAAAGTATTAATGTGTTCTTAATTAAAGTACACTAACACTATGAAAAAAATAAAAGACTTAATTTAATTAAGTCGAAAACTGATGAACGCTTATGACTTGCACGCAAACCTGAGGAAGATTAATAATTAATTCAAAGTCACATACAAATTTGGATCGAGCTTATAAAGGTGATTTCTGCGCTACTTGTGAAGTATATGGCAATTGCCAAATTTAGAACAAAATTTTTTATGACGCAAAAAATTCTTTTTATGACGCAAAAATTCTTTTTATGACGCAAAAATTTTTTTTTTGATGATTTTTCGTAAGATTCGAACTTAATCAGATTTGATCAAACATTTCACATCGTAATTTGCTATTAAATAGCAAGTGTAATTTACTAATAGTAAGTTGTTTTAATAATAACTAGTAAATTGCAAGTAGTACAATAGAAAGACTAGCAATTTGCTCGTTAGTTTCGCTAGGGAAGAATTTAAACTATTTATATTAGGAAAAGATAAATCTCGATGTCTTCTTCACTTTTTGTCAACTAGGGACTTAATGCAACAGAGAATTTGGGGTAGTGCATAAAGCCATATTTAAAACTATTGATTATAGGACATTATTTTTGAACGACTTTACGTGAATGAAACAAAAATATCATGAAATTTTCCACTTGCGTTCTTCACACACAAAAAAAATTCTTTTCTTTTCTTCATCTTTTTCACATTTTACAAATGGCTTAAAATTTTGTTGACAGGTGGCATGGGCGCATTTTCTCTGTTATTGCCTGCATATCTAGCCAGACACATCAACACACAGATAAGACAAAAGTTTTGCTCGCTCACAAATCGAAACTCAGCTTGAATATTTTTATGTCTTTTTATTTTTTTGAGATAACTGAAACAAAAAGAGAAATGAAGAATTTCCCGTACTTTTTCTTCTCATTTACTCGTTTTCAAACGATACGAATTTAATTTCGTAATTTATATGTGGAGCATGTGTGAGATTCATTCCTTATGAAAATTTAATTACAATCAACTGTGAATGAGACGTGAATGGAGGCAGAAAAACTTCAAAAATAAATGAAGAAAAAACGGTCTGTCTATGGATGATTAATCCTCAAAAGTTTATATATATTGATTGGGTGTTTTTTTAACAGGTTGTTTTACTTTTTCATAATCATACACATGCTATATAAGTCTGTATAAGTACGTGATGCGTGATTTATGACGTAATAAAATCAAATTTAAGTTGAATGATACGGAAATAAATAAAAAGGAGAATAAACTTACCATGCAGTCGTTCGTGCTCTTGTCGAAATGACGCCAGACTGGGATCCTGACGAATTTTTTCTAGAAACGATAAAAACATCAGTTAATTAAATTATTTATTTTATATGATTAAAACATAAGTAAAGTCGTTCACTTTTTAAAAGATTCGAAGCGAGGAGGGGACTTTAAAATCATTTTAAAGAATATTATATGTGAACTAAGCCCGATACACTAATCAAATTATATATTATGTGTTAAAACTCACCTGGTAGCGTACGCCATACTTGCAGCGATCCTTCCGTCACCTCACTAAGGGATACAAAAGAATAATTTGATACAATCGATGGACGATGTGGTGCTTTTTTCTTCTTTTTCTTCTCATCACTAAATTTCATTTTCTTTAAGCTATCTTTTTCCATTTTTCTTTCTTTCTTTTATCAACGGAATTTTCCTTTTCTTATGTAAAATCCGTTTCTATATATAAAAAATAATTTTTTTTTGCTAATTTTCTTAGTCGCAAAAATAGGCAAGAAAGCATGCATAATTATCCGCAAATGAAAAAACCACCACAGAAATATAAAAAAATTCTTAAATGATACTGACTCGGGACCTAATAACGGCTTAGGATCCATACTTTATTATCTAAACTTATAACGTAATTAAATTTAATAACAATAAGTGGAAGTCCACTTTAATTAAATTATTATTATTTTTTTAACTGAGAGAGAATAAAATTTATTCGCGACTGTTAACGATTGTCAGAGATCAGACCTGAAACGTGAAAATTTCAAATGAGACTAAAATGATTTTTTTTAAATAAAATTTTTGTATTTTTTTTTCTCATGGTCTATGAGTAAAATTTACATTTTCATATTATACATATGAGAAAATAAGAACAACAATAAGCAAAAAGTCGTACTGAGAATATATTAAAAGATCTTTTTTTTCTGTGAGTAAATTAAGAGTTTTTTTGTATTTTCTTTTTTTGAGAATGAAAAATTAAAAACAGTTTTTTCAGGCTTGGACACATGCCAAGTAGAAAATATGAGAAGCGAGAAAGAAAAATATCCAAAATGTGTGAAAGAATTTTTAGTATCGTCCACAATATTTTCTGTCTAGTCGAAGTTCACAAATGAAATTGTTGATATGTGAATGTGATATTTGTCTGAGATTTCATTGACATTGTACAGTGACGAAACTTCCTTCCAAGAAGATGAGATATGATTGAAAAGGAAAATTTATCAAGCGTTGCTAATTGCTTTTGATTTCTAATTAGGTTTCCCCATCTCGAAATTTATTTTCGTCAAAAACCACACATTTTAAAAAATCATTAAAATTCTCAGTGACTTGCAAAAATAAAAACAGAAAAAATTTTAAAGTTCAGCCGGTGATTTTCTTGTTTTATTCTCAAAATAATTTTTTTTCTCATCTTTTTTTTCTCACAATTTATTTTTAAAACGAAAAAAACTTAATATTGACACTTTTTATAGCCACTACTTTCGATTAAGCATAAAAAATGTGAAAACAGACTTTGTAGGTAGGATGATCATAGATTGTTGATGCAACTGGATTTAATGTTACATTTTTTATTAGGATTGTATGGATTTTCAGTTGGTTTTCTGTTTGGAGGTGTGTTTTCTCTTGATTTCTTTTTTGTCTGGGTTAAAGTCTACATTTTAATTTTAATAGGATAGTCAATTATGTTAAAAAAAATGTTAGTTTGGTATTTTTCAGCGAGAAAAGAATATTCCAGAGATCGAAGCCGATTTTTTCGGCTTAACTCAATTTTTGATTATTTTGATAGAAAAAAGCCATTTAACACCCGTTTTAAGTATTTAAATTGAACTTTACATGCTTTACTATGATTCTGTGAAATATTTTTTCAGCATGTAGCTATAGTAAGCTCTGAATTTCAATTTAGCCGATTTTAAGCCGATCGGCTTCAATTTCGGCTTAACATTCTTTAACTTGAAATTCTGAGCTCACTATAGCTACATGCTGAAAAAATATTTCACAGAATCATAGTAAAGCATGTAAAGTTCAATTTAAATACTTAAAATGGGTGTTAAATGGCTTTTTTCTATCAAAAAAATCAAAAATTGAGTTAAGCCGAAAAAATCGGCTTCGATCTCTGGAATATTCATCTTTAAATGAATAAAACATGTTCTGATAGGAACTCCTGTAAACCGCAGAAACAGCAAAAATTTCGAAACAATCTAAGAAATTTCTATGAATTTGAATGATAGTTTGGAAAACTACAAAAAAAAAATTAAAATTTTTGAGCATATTTGAATTTTTTAATTTTCAAATCTTGTTAACAACCACAAAAAGTTTCAAATCAGAAAAAAACTTAAAACAATTTTTCAATACATCAGTAATTTTTTAAGGGCTCCATAATGTTCTAAGTCCCTTTAAAAATATTTCTGACTTTACAAGAAGTTATAACAACCCATCAGCACATAAATCACATGACTTTTTCAAATCCTCACAAGGATACACTGAATAGAAATCATTTATACCCTCGCTATTAAGCATTCCCTTACGTAACATGAGAAATGATTTCCTCCATCCCAAACATCCCCTACTGAATGTCAAAAAAATTTAATAGGGATCAAATTTTGTTTCCAAAAAAATCATCTCCATTAAATTAAATTTGATCCAAAACAGAAGATTATCTCACTTAGTTCCAACACTTTTTCTTCCTATTTATTTTTATTGTTTATGAAAAATTTCACACAATCACGCCCGCGAATTTAATTAAAGCAAATCTTTAAGTGAGTTTTTATATTTTTTCCTCTATTTTAAAGATCAAAAAAAAAAATTTTTCGTCAGTATCAAAAAAAGAAACCATTAAGGGCTAAAATGATATATTTTTTTTCTAAATTTCTATGGCAGCACCTTTTTTAATTGCGGATAATATTGTATCCACAAGCGATGTTCACAAAAAACTGATTCGATTCACTTTTAATTGTCTTTAAAAATTTGTTTTATCAGCAATTCAAACTGGTATATAAAAAAATTTAATAATGCTACTGATACACTTGACAACGATCTTGATTACTTAATACTGTATATGCGAAAAAAACTTAAAATCAATTAATCCCAATTCAACAGCCAATTAATCATTTTTCAATTGTCAAAAAGCATATAAAGTCATAAATTATTTTTTTATTTTACGATGAATGCACGGAAGGTAAGAAGCTCTAATCAATAAAAAGTGAAGACTAAATGATATGAAATATCTCGACGTCGTATGAAAAAAAAAATATTTATTTTCACATGAACAATGCGAAAGATTAACTAAAACTGATTTGAGTTTGAACTTGTTCCATTCATAATGTACATTGTACGGCACTGAGGCCGTAAAACATTAATTTAATGTACATTTGTGTTATATTTTCTTTCTTTTTCTCTCTTTCTCTGCTATAAACACAGTTTTATCATCACATGTGCCTCCGTGAATTATCATATCATATCGTGTTCACATATCCACTTTACTATCACCGAACTTTGTCAGTCAGTGCCGATTGAATACACCAGCATTTTTTTTATATACTTTATTTTTTGTTTTTGTTGATAGACGTAAAGCATTCAGGCATTGTTTTTGTGTACTGGTGCACATTTGAATTGATAATGATTTCAAATGTAAAGATGTGTCAGACTGATAATCTCGCTCAATAATAGTCTATAGAAATAATCAGCTACTCCTTTGGCACTATGAAAATTATTGAACCTACCGAGTTGATTTGCATAATTTGCGACGGCATGTAGTGCATGTGGTGTTTCTAGACGACTTGTTGAGAATAAATTGGAATGTTCTATGAAATTTACTGAGATATGGCTTTTTTTTTGAGGGTGAAATGTGAAAAGATTGTGGATAAAAATGACCAGTGAGAAAGACATAAACATATGAGAGAGGTTTCGGTCCAGAAAACTCTATACTAAACCTAAACTATTGATACTATTTTACCTAATCCCAAAAAAACTCTTATATACAAGAATTATTCATTCTTTAAGGACGAACCTGAATCAAGCTACTCGACTGAAAGTAAAATACAAAAAAGACAGAAATGAATCATGTGACTTTAAATTTCACCCACTTAGTGTGCAAATAAAATGAATCTCGTGATTATTCTACATTTTGCAATTTTGCGTATTTTTTTTAGCGGAATTGAAGTCAATTGTGCGACATAATTTTTTTTCTAGAAATTGTTATTAATTTAGATTTATTTTCGTCATAATAAAGTCGTATGAAATTCCATGTTCTACATACACAACTAAAGAATACGATTAATTCAGATATCGCAGGGCTTATCATTATCGACAGAAAATGTTATAATATACACGAAAAAAGTGAGCTGTGATTTCATGAATGTTAGTTCTGATGAGTAATTAATTTATACAAAGCAAAAAAGACACAAAAAAAACCAAAATGTTGACTGATAAGATGATAGGAAGAAAACATTTGTCTTACGTCAATTAACAGCTGTCTAGTAATTATTGAATCATTGAAATATTTTCTACCAGCGTAAATCATGTGAGTTGCTTTGACAGCTTTATTATGACTTACTTACTAAAGCAACTAGATCATCTAGTCTAGATGTAAACAGATATTGATAATGATTTTTTGAGAAAAAACTAATGAGGTAGGACTTTAGGTAATAGTTGAGAATCAATTAAATTTTTATGTTTATGACAACCAGAAAAAAAGAAAAACTGCTGTAAAAGTTGGAGATAATAAGGTGGTTGTAAAAATAATATTGACACTCAATATACGGTAGCTTGTGAGTAGGAACACTTATAATTGTGGAACTAATCTTTGATCTAATCATTTTGGATGTCGTAAGCTACCTACCTCATTGACATATCACGAGTTGGACTATTTGTGCAATAAACGTGCGATAGAAATGTTATTTCATACTTCAACTTCTATTTTTCGTATCTTTGATGTAATTAAATAACGAATGTTTAGAAGCTAGTAAAGAAAAACTAACGAAGATGAAGCTAGAGGGGCTCGTCTTTTAACATATAAATTTTAAAATGTACTATGAACATCTTCTTATTTCCTGACGCAAATCAAATTTTATCTTAATTATTTCTGAATTTTTTTTTCGAGTGTTGTTACTGTCTACCTTGAAAGATAATCTGTTTTTGTAATCCATTTAGATAACCAAAATTCGGATAAACATAATGGAGATTAAAAACTTCCAAATTAAAGTGATGTGATTTTCCTAGAATCAAAATTGCATAGGGTCGACAAACCATTTAGACACGCACACATATCTGAATAGTAGAAAGGTCATTCAACTAATTTAAATATGCATTTCAATTTATGAATGGACTTGTAACTGACGAAAATAAAAATATGTCAATTTTTTAGTGTGTCGTTTACATTCATAAACATAATAAATGACATCTTATGGCACCTTCAATTTACATTTCATTTCCGTGCACTAAATAATTTGTAGTGTGTTTTCATTTATTGCTCGTCTCCCTTGAGATCTACTTAGTAATAATAGAAATGTCGGTGAAAAATTGCCAAATCGAGCATAGAATTGAGATTTCAGTGTTGTTATTTGAGTATATTTTGAGTCAGTTTGGATCAGAGTACTTAGTAGACTTAAGTCAACTAGGTACATGACTAGGTTTTTTTTGATTGACTTCAAATTCACTTGCTTTTACACGCTTTTTATTAGTAAAGTCAGGTCAATTAGAGTATTAAGTTCTTGATTTGGATAAAGATAACTTTACAAATACTTTAAAATGAAGAACTAGTGTTTACAGTTCTAGTTCATAGTAAACAACACTGATCAAGAAAGCAAAATAATCACAAAAAATTATTATTTCCCATAATTGATTTATCATTACAACAGATACCAATTATAAAGATGCATAGATGCGATACATAACAATTTTGTTTTATGAAAATCTAAAAATAAACGGTTGTGTATGTTAAAATGTATTCATAGAATTTTTCACATGTTGAAGCAGAAGAGAAATACAGAAAGATTGAGAGAGTCTATTCGCACGCAATGAGATAAAAAAAAGTATAGAAAATAAAAATTCTCTTCGGATTTATCATGTGTGGAAAATTGTAATAAATACTATATTTTTACTTTTTCATGAGAGAATTTTTTTAAAATATTTTTAGAGCATGCAGCTAGATGCTAAAAGCGAGAAATATTTTTTCTATTCGATTTTATTTAATAAACTCATAATGTGAAACTAAATCTCCATTTAATTATGCCATTATTATTTTAATGTGCATCATTTTCTAGATTAAATTGAAAAAAAATCAAAGCAATTTATTAACTAGATCGATGAAAACGTTATGGCTATTTGATGATAGAGTAATTAGTGGTATTTTATTAATGAATATTAATTGAAAGTAGATTTGATACACACTTACATGTGTGTACTGAATGAATGAAAACATTGACATCAAATGAAGAAGAAGGCAAACTTTAATGTCGATAAAAAATGAAACAAAATAATTTTTTTTCAACTGGAGCACTTGAAACGACTACAGTCACATAAATTAAAGAGCTTTCATATATAAATCTGAACTGTGTTGAAAGCGAAACATTCCGTCTATGACTTGTTACATATGCAGCTTTCTGGAACGTTTCTACTGAAATCATTAAGCTTTATGCTGAATTTTTCTTTCCCTCTTCTTCTTCCTTATTTTCTATTGCTTTCATCTCATAAATTTGTGAGTTAATTGGAAACAAATTAACATAATCGATATTTTTTTCCATTAAATGAACAGAAGTGAGCTGAAGTGGCTCGGTGGCGGAATGGTTTAGTACTTCGGTACCTAATTATTGCAATACCGACACAGCGATCATGGGTTCGAGACTGGGTATGGGAAATTTTTCACTTGTTCTTTTTCGAATCATATGTACTGGAAATGAGGCTCACAGCCTTCCTTTGTAGGCTACAGACAGAAATGTCATCAAAGGAGTGGTTCGGATTCCACTATAAATTGTAGGTCTAGGTTTGAGTGCAGTGGTTTGGCGCATCCTCACTCGTTAAAACTCTCATTAGCTGCGAATCGCCCTAGCGCACCTCTGGATCACAATTGATCTGAATAGGTAAAGGTTTTTTTTTTTTTTTTTTTTTTTTTAAATGAACAGAAGCAGAAAATTTACGAATGGAGAAAAGCAAACAAATTAAGGCTTTATTTGTGAATGTTTAAGACTTCAATTTGTTTGTTTGTTTTTCTTGTGGCATGAAAATTTTATTTAATTTGTGGTACATTAAGTTACTCTACTATTAATCATAACAAAAATGAGTGCAAATTGTTTTAATTGGGGATGAAATTAAAGAATGACTTTTGTGAAATTTCATTTGCTATCTTGTCTTGTTTAAATGAGAGTTGAAAATTGAGAGTTCTTGGAAAATTAAAAGGTTGTAAAATAATATTTGAAGTTAATAATAAATTGAATTTTTAGGAGTGTAGATCGTCTAAATACGATAGGATTTGTTTCGATTAAGCAGAAGGAGCTAGCACCATAAAAAATTTCATAAATATCGTTCTTTTTATCAAAATTTTAATTAATTACAGAACTCCTCCTTATTCAAAAATTGTCAATAATTCATCAAATATCTCAAAGAACATCAATTTAATGATATCATAAAATTAAAAGTGTGATTTAAAGTCACCCCATTTCATTCTAGTCAATCTCACAATCTTTCAATGTTTCAAAAAACATCTCTAATTAATCAATCCCTACAAAAAAAAATCAATTAAAAATCTTTTTAATAAATTGAGAAGCCGTCAAGTCTAAAGTGACCATCTGCGTAGTTTTACAACGGACAGTCCTGTATTTCAAACCCTGTCCTGTATAAATTTGAAAATTTTGTTCCAGGTCCTGTATTTTTTTCACGAAAATTTCCATTAATTTTCAAATTTTCCTTTGTGTCCTGTATTTTTTGGGAAATTTATCAAATGTCCTGTATTTTCATAAAAATTAGATGTTCACCCTAGTCAAGTCTTAAT